GTCTGCCAAACTTGTGGGTATGGGAACCCGAAAGAAGGATTAGTGGTTGGACCTTCTCCACACTTCGCTACCCTTAATGTGCAGCACTTGTGTCAATCCCGAGGTCTCGCAGCGAAACACGCCCTCAGCTGTAGAGAACAACTAGAAGGAGAGGACGCAGACAATAAGTTCGTTTTGCCATGGTTGAGCGTGCGGCAGCAATGTCAAAAAGACACATGGGTGCCCCCAGCCTTCAGCCAATCGGACCGCTGCGGCAGCTGCAGAACCTTTTCACCTTGCAAGGGATCTCTACTCACAACGGCGAGGGGGGTGGGGTGTACAGTTTGTCTCCAGCCTAATATTTCGCCGATAAAGTCTCAAGATCTAAAACTACCTGTGAATATGTTCCTTCTTCTTGCTGGCTCCCATAGCAATCCAAATTCGCTCGCGTTCTGTCTGATAGACTTCGATTTCCCATTTTCTGTGCAAAAACTCGAACAAATCGTCACTTCCATACATCACAGCTGTCGCATAGATTGGTTGACGGAGGTACGGCGGGATCCTATTGATAGCACTTTTGTCATTTGCAAAATGTACGTGCTGTTAGTAAAAATAGAGTGCTTGGCGCAGTTCGGCTTGGTAGGGTAGGGCACCACGTGGTGCACACCGAGGCTTGTACAACCCACCTTGTGAAGACAGGTTGCTATAGGACTCTCCTGCAACTTTTCGCAGCTTTAAAAGGGTTTGCAGGTTTCACCAGACGAGACCTGTTAGGCTGCGTTCATACTTGCCTGCAGCGTCCATAAGCGACTACCAGCGGCCGTCAGAGTCTACAGGTACTAGGGAAAATTATGGATATCGATCTGGCGCCACCAATGTCCAGGAGTACGGTATTGTGTGGCATACGGTGCGGTTGCATACGCCACGATTCATGACGTTCGAACCAGCGGTCTCATCCCTCCTTTTTGCTCACACACTACCAGCAGCCTAGAGACGCTAACGTCAACGCTGGTGGACGCCTGGGGACGCTGTCAGACGCTGCCCTTCGCTAGATTAATATCTATACTTTCCCGCTGACGCTGACGGACGCTCGGAACGCTGCTGGTCGCTGGTCGTCTAGTTGACATAATCTAGCGATGGGAAGAACGTAAAATGCTCCTCCCAAGCCGAACACCACCAGTTTCTCACAAAGGACTCCAGCTTTGACGCCAGCGCTGTTTACTCTTTTACTTTACACTTACGCATTGCATGTTTGATTGCTTAGCCTCGCATTAGCACAGGATATCCTCAGTTTCTCCATGAGAGCTTGCGAATATGAAATGCATGTCGGGTAGCCATTCAGACAAACACGAAAGAATACCGTACCTCGCAGATCACTGAGTAGCCTTCATTCAACTGAGATTACAAGTTTATGATAGGGCTGTATAGAGGCAATAGCTTACTCTTCGTGCAGTTTCACTTCTTCATTTGAGACAGGATTTTGCCGAAAATATTCGAATAACGGTTCCAAAATCGTTATGATGAAGTCCTTCAAAATGCGGATCTTATAAAAAAACTCTGTAAGAGACTTCTGGACAGATCAATAATAGCTTTCATGTAAAAAAGCACCTACGAAAACTAAATAGGTGCCAAGTTTTGGTCTTAAGCTGCGTTCAGACTTCGATGATGCGCGTCGACGCTGCCCGTTGCAATAGCGCTCAAATGCCATGGATGGGTATCGATGGACGCCGACTGCTGTTTTGAGAAAGTAAAGAAGAACTGGAGGGTATCAGACAACACCCAGATTTCACAGTTTGGTACCGTAACAGAGACCGTCGTAGAAGCAAGGTCCCCAGCTTTGAAGCCCGCGAGAAGCTCGCTGCACACCTCTGAGTCAATGTGATGAAACTTATACGACGCGGGTTATGCCGCAGGGGGTATAACTTACAATTAGAATTATCTTAAACTAGGGAAAGTAAACCAAGAGAACGGCATACGGAAGCAGCTATTTCTCAGGACTACGAAATTTTGTGTGCCATACAGTGCGATTTGGCGTCACATAAAATAAAACCGTGCAATGCGGTCGCAAAGCAGTAGCGCTGCTATTTCTTCTCCTAAACTTCCCCAAAACAGCCAGCAGTCGGCGCCGATCGATACCCGTTTAGGGTCGTAGACGCGCTGCGACGGCGCGTCATCGCAAAGTCTGAACGCACCCTCAAGCCAACATTAGAAAGAACTGCATGAAGGGGTACAAAGCACCTGAAATACCCGGAACTGTGGATGACCTGTAAGACGAGAGACGAGAAAGTCCAGATGAGCGTGTAGCATCTTCACTGGTGGATATGCTCTCTGCAATAGATAGGAACTTTGGAAACTCTGTCAATTTCGAACGAGCAGAAACCAGCACAGTAATTGATCCCTGTCTTCACATGACACATTACAGCACTTTATGTTAAACCAGTTAAATCCTTTTCTAGACATGCCATGCATGTGGCACCATAATGTGGATCCTTAAGGCTACACTGCTGGTAATGCAGTTCAAGAACGGAAACATAGATGCTTCAATATGAGGTAAAATGGCAGAATAAACAGTTGCGAATTCCCCGCGCGGAGCGTTTTTTTTTCTTGCAGTCGGAGCCCTGAGCCACTATGTGCAAGAGTAGAGAGACAAAAATGCCAAAATCGCGAAATTCAAGAGCACCGTGAGAGATTGCGGGTCACAGATTGCGCCAGGGCAAAAAGAGCGTGACTTCAACCCAGTGGTCGATCTCAACCCATAAGAGCTGGCGCCTTTATCATGCAGTTTCGAGAAGCAAAATAATGCCCTTGGTAGTACCAATGCTCACACGCGGGAGGGGCACTACGCATCAACCAACGAGCAAATCTGTCTTTGATGCACAAGACACATGGTACGCTCAAACACATTGAGGGTGTATGAGACTATCAGCCCCCCAGCTGTCGATGTGTCGTGGTCCCCCCGCCCAAAACTGCACGGGGTCAGAGTACGGGACCGTGGGAAAGTCGTAATTCCTTGCTACGCCGCCCGTTTTTGCAAACTCACGTTTTTACTAACACCGTCCGCGCGGCGCGGTCGCGTGCAGCTCTCTTGGCTTTTTGCCAAGTCCTGTAATTGCGCTTTGGAATACAAGTACAACGCAATTTCTTTATGCGGATAACATTTTAGGTTCTGCAAAATAAGAACTGAAGATGATGACGAGGGCTAGAACTCAAGAGCAACTGTGCTGCCCTCGCAGGCCGCGCATTCCCACAAAACATCAAAATAAAAACGGCCTAAGCGTCCCACGTTAGTTTGATGGCGAGGGCTAGTTTGAAGTATTTCTAAGGCATTAGAGCCGGATTCGAGCCGGATCGCAGAAATGCACACGTGATTTTACAGAACAGATTGCTGTCAAGCCACAACTTAGCCGCTACGACGCGAACGCCAATCTCGCCCACCCGCCCACAGTGGAAGATCGTACATGATGCTCGTACTGCTTCATTTGAGAATAAAATACGAAGCGAATGGATTCGGATGACGGCCTGCGGTGTTGTTTGTATGAGTACGTACGTTGCAGGGCTAGTAGCCTACCATAGGCGGCTATTGGGCAAGATGCCTATCGGCGGAACTCGCCAAAATAGCCTTCTCGAGGTCAAATAAGAACGAAGCCCTTCCTTCAGCTTGGCGTTTATTACCGTTTCAAACTTCGTTTTTCAGCCATTCGCCACATTAGCGCCCTGCGACATCTTCTACGGCCGAAGCTCCAATTGATCATGCCAACTGCCTTTAAACTTGCCGTCGGGACAAAGCCGCTCCATGACGTACATGAAAAAGGAAAAATCGTCAAAGGCGAAAAGGCAAATACGGCCCCCTTCCTCCAGCGACCAAAGACTCCCCGCTGGGGTCCAAAAGTGATCGCTAGAGCCCCCTTCGTCATTCTCCCCGTCCTAGCTACCTCAACCATTTCACATAATTTCCCCCACCTTCCATTTTGAAGGTGTTTTCCACGAAGATTTTCTCACTTTTTTCAAAAGAAACTGTCATAGAGGGAGAGAAAACGAGGGCAATAGCGCCACGAAACAGAAAAATGGCTTAGCAAAAAACAAACACTTTGCTACGAGCCACACCTTTTTCTCCTATGACCTTAGGACCGACGTGCACGCCTGGTCTGTTATGGGAGGAAAATGTTCTGGTGTGGATTTTACTTCCGAAGCCACTCCACCCATCGCGATACTACATATACCTTGTACCCACGGGTCAAGAGCTTTAAGCGTTCAAGTCAACTTTTGATTTCTCGTTCATTCTGGATTCCTGCTGCACCTGTGCTCACTTCACTTAACTTCAGGGTCCATGGGGAGTCGAGTAGTAACGGATGTATAGCCGGTCAGAATTTCACGCTGACGGAAGTAATTGAGACATGGATCTACCAGCAAGGCTTTCCAGTTCTTCATGTGAAAAAACGGAAACGATGGAAAAGTTCAAGTCACACAGGAGATCTACAGGGTAAGAGCGTTGCGATTAAGATCTTTTTACTTTTTCAAGGACGTTTTTTTTCAAATTATGACCCGCTCATGATAGCTCTTTTCTTTCACTTTGCTTGTTATCCTTCTGATTCATTCCTCAACAACTACACCATTCAGCTGTGATGAACTCACCAAGTGATCGTAGGCCTTCTCCAGTGAGCCACATTGCCAGTCAAGAAAATGAGCCTCTACCGTACTTACTGTCTCTCTCTTTCCTACCGTTGATGTTCCCGTCCATAGTGGGAGAGGTCAACGGTGGGATACCTGTTCTGTGAGGACGTTCTTTTGTTCGCGATCCACGAATCATCTATCGTGGTGAAGCCGCCCCTTCATTTGCTCCAGGCTACTGGTAGTCTCTTGCCCTGTAGCTCGAACTCCAGTGCCTTCCTTATCGAATATCAGGCTTTCTCATCCAGTGTCCGCATCATCGCAGGCTCTGTTCTCGCGCCTTCAGCAGCATTGGAACAGTCAACCATCCTCACCCGTGAGGTCATGAAGTCCATCAGTAGGAGGCATAGTGCGTTCTCAGAAAACACCGTTTGAACACTACCGAATAAATTCTGGAACCACCGCGGCGACTGAAGAATACTTCCCACCTCACAAGTGGCCCTGAGTATCATGATATTGTTGCTATGTTACAAGTATTACATTTTACAGCACATTCCCGGTCATACAGCAGAAGTGGAGTGCAGTGGAAAATCCCACTTTTCCTTCGAGATCCGATAACTTTGAAACCAACAGTGCAGTGGTTGGTGGAGAACGACACAGGTCAGCGACATTACCATATGTTTTTCAGCTTACATTCTTACATCTATTCCAAAAGAATTCGTTCTCAAAACATTGAATGCCGCGTCATGTCTGCATGTCACATGGCACCTTTTGAGTTTTTTTTCACACGAGTGCCAGCAATTGGCGTTTAGGGGACCCTTGTGGTGCGCACACAGGGAACGCGGTCGGTCGACCGCACGTTACGAAGATTGTTGATTCGACGGGCCAGCAGGGTATATATTCGAATCCTCCCAGGGGGATCATATCTAGCCGCTTGTGAGAGGGGGTAATATTATATTCGACCTGGAGAAATTTTTCTGACTGCTGTTTTCCCGTTCATGCGCACTATGTACTAGAATCAGTCAGCAGGTGGCTTTCGGGCGGTCTCAACAGTCAAGACAGCCGCATTTTCTCCACTGTCGGCTTCTTCTTTAGTGACTTACCAAACCTACCAGCATTGCTAAAACGGCAGCAGATATCGCTCCGACCCCTCCAATAGCCGCCGCCAACCTCCTATCGTCAAAAAACTTTGAACGAACGTTTACGTTCAAATAGTAGAGTGGCGTCACAGTATAAAAGAGCTTAGAATAATTTATCACACAGAAACAACCTGCAAAAGATTAGGTAATAAAGACAACTCGTAAGTAAATAACGACGCCGAACACAACGGAAATACACCGAGATGATAGATAAGAATAAAGAAAAGTGTTACATCTCCCTCCTTTTCTATATTGTCCTGGGAGTCATCATCGAATGTAGTCGTGAGCGTGAGCGATTTGCAGAGTTGACCATAAAGCAGGCTTTCAGAGCAAAACACTCGGACGAGATGAATGGGGCTAGGCTCATTTTTGGTCTGAAATAGGTTCGTTCCCGCCAACGACGGTTTCTGCGACGGACCTTGCATACAGTAAACTTGTGTTGGGCGCGTCACTTTTGCGTCCTTTTGCGTTCGCGCATTCATACTTGATCGCGTAATTGCGACAAAACTACTTTTTTCGATAGGTAATAGGAAATATTGGCACATTCGCTCGTACATACACACATTAATATGACTGGTGTCAGCCGGAGCGTGTCAGCGGAGTCTAGGTTTTGGCGCAGCATCAGCTCGTTTCCATTGATCTTTGCCGCTCCTGGCTTCCAATGAGCGGTTGAAATGGGGCTAGGGAAAAAAAAAACCCGGTCGTAGCTGACGTGCCCCTGATGACTTCAGCAATATCGACTGTGAATGTTAACAAGACCAATATCAAGAGTAGATTAATGGTCGTCATAGTTTACGTTTCAAAGCAAGCGTTCAGCAGTGATTGATCTGGGTACTGACGTCGTGCTGGACCGAGATGGACGAAGTTTTGTACGGGTAAGATACGATACGGACTTATACCTCGACATCACGGCACGACTTCATGCTGATGCCAATTGCATTCCAGTCGCCGCAAGGTACGCTAGCAGCTGGAGCTGGAAAAGTGTTCAGATCCTTTTATTTTAGGACACGTCTCATGGATGACTCGTTTACTATGGCAGAGATTGGCAACCTCTCTTATGGACATGCCCTGAACATTTCCGTCTATCTCAGGAAAGAGGTGAATCGCTCAGTAGATATAGATGCATTTGACAAATATGTATTGCTGTATGTTTTACGGCACGCCCTTAAAGCACACATGGTAACGCTCAAACACAATTGAGGTGTATGAGACTATCAGCCTCCGCATCTGTCGATGGTCGTGATGCCCTGAATCCAAAAACTGCACGGTCAAGAGTACGGTGGTCCGTCGAGAAGTCTGTATATTGTCCTCTAGCAAACCGCCTCACGTTTATGCTAACACCATCCGCGCGGCGGTCGCGTGCAGCTCTCTTGGCTTTTTGCCAAGTCCTGTAATTGCGCTTTGGAATACAAGTACAACGCAATTTCTTTATGCGGATAACATTTTAGGTGCTGCAAAATAAGAACCGAAGATGATGACAAGGGCTAGAACTCAAGAGCAACTGTGCTATTCCTGCATTTCCTCAGAGGCCGCGCATTCCCACAGAAAACATACAATAAAATGGAACAGGCAATGACAATCCCAAGCCAAAATCGTATGCAAGAGTTTTCCTAACATTTGAGGTATTGCTCATGCTTCAAAGTCCGAATAGAAGGTGATGAAGATGACAAAGGCTAGAAATGAAGAACAACGAATGTAGATGTAAATAAAACAAAATTGAAAAAACTAAGGAAACGCAATAAATTAAAAATCAC